ACAGTTGCCTTTATTAAAGCTTGTTAGAATTACACTTTGAGGCTATTTGAAAAGAGAATGCAAAACTGGTTTATAGTATTTCTAGCACATATTTACACATAAGACAATGTATTCTCTTTTTTTCTCCTTGCTGAGTCTAGAAGCCCAGTCTGGGCTTTGAAATACAAACGCAGAATACATGGGCCAAAAAACATGAAAGCACAAGGGGAGTAAAGCTCTTGAACTGGCCACGTCTATTAAAATGCCCTCATATTCCATTATTTTTATTTTTAAATGGCATTATAATAAAATTATTACTGAAACAATCATTAAAAGTGTTAATGTACTTAAAGCCTAGGTATTGTTGTACAGTGACACTATGTCACTGCTTTGTCTAGCGAATCCAGTGAACTCTAAATTAGCAACACACCTTTTCTTAATAAAAATACTACTGCTGCTGCTATTAATTAGTGATCCCATCTGTGTTTATATGAGGATAAAGAGGGGAGATTTAGGTAATGAGTTTGTGAGGGAGAGTTTTTTTTAATAACCCTTTTTCCTTTGCCCAGCCTCACTGACTCGCTGAAGGCATGGCATTCCTCTTCCAGCAGCCCCCTTGGCTTGTTTGCTCCCTAGGTCAGCAGTAAGAGCAAAACGTGCTACTAGAGCCACCCTGATCTTTGTCAGGACACCACTGCAGCAAAATACCTGGGACATTGCTAAACAATTTGCTCTGCCATTTTTCTCCTTTCCTTGCCAAGAGATAAGAAAAGCCTGACTGCGCAGGCAGGGTTATCAAGCAGGCACATTCTGAGACAGTCTGTTTTCCCCTGCAGTTTTCAATTATCTAAGCATTGCCACCTCAAGAGTCTCATCACGTTGATTAGGGGCATTGCCGTATTTAAGATTATTTACCGACTTTTTTTAAAGTTTCTGTGAGTTGAAAAGAGTCAGCACCTTGCGCTTTGCGTAGTTTACAGAGCAGGTGTGCTAGTCTTCCTTCATAAATGCCTTGTTGTAGCCTAGGGGAGAAAAATGCTGCTGCTGTGGTCCTTCCTCGAGATCAGGAGACACCAGCAGTGCCCGCAAACTGGTCAGCGCCTTCACACGTGGGTGCAGAGCAGACAGAATTTTGGCAGCCGATGAAAAGTTTGCAGAGCAGAACGAGTGTGTGAAGGACACAGACTACGTCCCTTTGAAAATTTTTTAATTGTGAATTAATTGAAATGGGAGCTGAGGGTGAAAATGGCAATGATGGAGTCAGACTTTCTTGGGAGCCCAGTGTTAGAAACATCTGGGTTTCAATATTCACCGTCCCCAGAGCCATCTGTTCAGATCGATGCCATGCTGGCCGCCTTCGCCAAAGGTGAGGTTTACTCGTGTTTACTTTGTATTCTGCCAGGCGCTTAAAAACTCAGACCTCTTTGGCTACGCATATCTGAGAAGTTAAATGCTCAAAAACTAGGAAAAGCTGAAGTTCAGGTTTAAAATGCTTTCTTAGCAAACTTACTGTGCCAGGGGCATCCCCAGCCACTCCTAAATTGGACGATTGTTCTGTTACGATGCTATACCTTTAAGTTGTGATTGTTAAAGTTGTTTGTTAAGCATCTAACCTTGCAGCTTTGTGGCCTCTCTATTTCTCTCCCTGCTCAGCTGAACAGCAAAGGTCTCCAGGCTTTTCCCTTATCATTCAACCAATGCCTTCAGTCCCTCCTCTGCTGCCGCAGAACCCGAAGCCTTTCACCTTCCATACCTCATTTCCTTCCACACACATGCATTTTTCCAAAATATTTCCAGTTTCAACAATGCACCATCTAATCTGACTCCTTTCTCCCCTCTCCCCTCCTACACCCATTCGTAACACACATCCCCTCTTCTCAGCACCCCTGTCAACTGCTGAAAAAGTCGGGTCCAGTTCTACAAGCAAGGTACCTGGGCCATGGCGTGTTTGCTCAGGACAGACGTCAGCTGGGAGGACAGACAGAATGACTCACAACGCAGCCGGCTCCTCAGCAGAGAGCTTATTTCTTCGTGTCTGAGCTCAGCTCCATTCTCAAATTGGTGGAAAATGCCCAAATGTTTATGTGTTAGTGGAGGGGCCGTGTGAGAAGGTGGGAGCTGCATAATGTAAGCGTATGTGCTACACTTTTTGTACAAAAACAAGACGACTTCCAAATCAACCACTTACATGACTGATTTCCCGATTTTTGTCCTGGAGGAGAAGGAAAAAATTTTTTTTGTTTTGAAAGGTCCAGGTCTATTTTCAGTGTGTTGAGTGGTGGACTAGCTTTTCAGGAGATGATGGCCAAGAAGCATTCCAGGACCAGTGTAAGTACCCTCTGCGGGGTGCACCCTCTCCAGGTGCTCCGTCTAGGAGGAGTGATGAAAGGCAAAAGGAATGATCAGCTTCCACAGATTTGTTTCTTGGTTTCTGGTTCTGGTGTGTGCATATCTTTGGGTTTTGCCAGCAGGCAGGGCGAGCAGACTACATGTCCTTTGTATTAACCGATAGGCAGACCATATGGCTGCACTCCTCTTTCCTCAAGAAATCAGGTTAAAAATACCTGACTGTTCGGTATCATCTTTTACTGTGAAACAATCTCCTGTCCTCATTTTATTTCAGCACTTACAAATTTAGCTTAAAGATCCTCCCTTACCTCCCATGAGGTGGTGGTGGCAGATACGAGTCCTTCCTAGCAAAGTGCTTAAGTAGATTTTTAACTAAAATCTTGCAAGTAGCATCATCGATTGCTCAATTTCCTCCCAACCCTAAGATCGGGCTGCCCAGTCCTGCTATTTTCAGTCCCATCTGCCTTCAGGGCAAGAAGCAAGCTGTCACCCAGTTTAGGGCTCTGTCTCTTGTGCAACAGAAATCAGTAGGTCTTTGGTCTTTGCTTTTAGTGAGTCTATAAATGAGCTGGTAGCTATATGCTTTGACTCCCATCTATTTCCCACCTGGTGCTAAAACTTACCAGTCCTGCTTTAGGAACGATAAGTTCCTCTCTTCTCTCTACCCCACTGATATCTAGTGATAAGAAGAAATGGGGAGGGGCAGGAGAGAGAAAGGAAGCAGATGAGAAACCTCTTCTACTGAGCCTAAATCACTGTGTTTTTATTATGAAACCTCCCTAACATGCTAGCCAGTTCTACTAATACTTTCCACTTTGGTAACATCTTCCATCCAGAAATCTTGAGAGGAGATAGAAACTCACATTAATTTTTAGCCTTGCTATATTTGATTCTGCAAGATGTGTGCAGAAACCAAGGAAAAGCAGAAAATCTGAGATTTGGCAAAGATCATTCTCAGAGTCTGTAGCAGAATGAAAAATGTTCCTTGGGAACTGCCACTCCAGTTTCTGTGTCTCGTCTACAAGGCCTTCATCTTACATGTTATTGTTCAGAAGTCTTAATTCTAACATGTGTATGAAAGTGAAAGCACTCTCTTCTTTAACTACTAGACTATAAAGCTAAATACAATGAAAATCTGGCAAACAATTGACAAAAAGCACAGAAAAATTTGTTCTTCTTCCAAAGGAAGACAGCTTCAATATTGCAGACTTAAATAGTCTCTCTGCCTCCTCTCTTTTTAAAAAGTAATCTTCATATGAACAGCAGACCCTATTCACCATATTGTATTCATTTCTGTGTGTACTGAAATTTCAGAATAGTCATTCTGGAAACATTTTTGCTACCATTTCAGCTGAAGGAGTGGGCTATAATTTACAAACTTTGAGGCATTATTATCCAGCTGTGTTTTAGTTCATTTTCAGAAAAGAAGGGATTATGTTTATATATAGAAGTCTTTATATAATTAATGTTAATTTGCACATGTTAATGAAGATGATTATTAGCAAAGCATTGTAGTTTTGTTCCTGCTG